GGGCAAGTTGTGTAAAATACTACTTAGCGAGTTATCTTAATCAGATGATGTATAATGAATGCCTGTAGCTAATGATATTGTATGCTTTCGTCATTTTTGTAGCAACTGGTATTATTGTTTTTTGGAATTTCACACTTCTTAGCAACAAAAAAGTTTAACTTCTGTTGTTGGAAGTTATGCTAGGATTATTTTCACAATCTGCTTCATTTGTCTGCTCTTGCATCTGACAACCCACCATAAGCAATTGAGAAATATCTTCTGCACAAGTTACATAAAGCCTTATGGCAATTATTGCTATCTTGTCACATCCATTCAAAACCATTTCTCCACTTACTCCAAAAGCCTAAAGCTCTTTCTTTTTAAGCTGTATATCTTGCCTTGTGGAAGACATGTTACCACTGTAGCCGTGGTCACAATCCAGGTGTGCATGTAATTTGATCTTTGAAAATTACATAGACTCAGTGTCAGATTAGATTCACTCTGTTTAATCGTCCTCTCTATTGGGCCAATAAGCCTCTGGATACTGTTAGAGATGCAGATAGTGTTGAGCCTGTTATAAAACTATGTGATATGACCATTTTTAAATACCAAATTTTGAGTATATGAGATCCTAACTGTACTTCTTTTTGATTGACTAGCTCCAGTCTGGGCACACATTTAAAATTTATCTTTTTACCCTTTGATGATGGTTCAGTTTGCAAAGAAATTTAGGGTCTGTTGGGTTTAAAGGTACTGTATAGATGTACGCTCTTCTTGTGTGAGATGAAGTACACTTTATCTCCAGAAAACCCTTAAATAACAAGATGGTTTGGGAAATCAGAGATAGCTCAGGTTCAGCCTCTCCAAAGTCCTGCTGGGAGAGTGAATACTGAGTACTTTTCTTAGTAGTTGCCAGATTTTTGTTTTGCTCAGGACGGATTCTGTAGTTTTCGAGCTGTAGTGCCAGCTGAGCGTCTGAGGCAGCCTGTACCCTAGTTTTAAGAGTCTGCCCCTTCATTTTTACCCACTCAGTACTCCTTTAACCTATAGAGAGACCATTTGTTTTTCCAGTCCTAGTCTACTGCTCTGTTGGCTGCCTTCTGCGATGTCCTCAGCTGCTCAGAATAAATTTGTTTGAAACCTCCTCTATTTACAGAGCCCGATAAGGTTTCCCAGGAACTTCGAAGCCCTAACATGAAGGACTGGATAGCTATCATCTTTCAAAACCTTGCACTGACCGCTATATTCACTGAACATTTGCATTAAAACCTACTAATATCCATGCATAACAAGCTTTTGTTAATTACACAACTATGAACCAACTCTTCCCTTCATGGCATTTCTTTACTTGGGTTGTAAGTGCAAAGCCAGAGGCCTGGATGCCATATTTCAGTAGCTGACGCCTCAAACCTGGAGGCCCATCTATTATTTGTGTTTCCAGCATGCAATTCAGGTTTCTGCCAAGGCAAATGAGGGTTTGGGTTTTTGAATCTTGTGATCACTTTCTGGTAACTAATCACACATCAATTCCCTAGGCTGAATGCTACCCTGAAAAAAACTTGCGCAAATACCCCACCCCCATCACAGCGGTGCATCTGGCTGTAACAGAGTACCCAGCTGTGCACAGTCCATAGACACTGCCTTTGGCCCACTTGCTGTGCTTGTAGTCCTCTACTGGAAAGAAAACAAAAATGCTAAAAACAAGTTGGAAATAGGCAACCAGCACAGCAAACCCAGCCACTGCCCCAGTACGCCCCTGGGACAAGGAGGAGGTTGCAGCTCACCCCCACCGTTACAGTTCAGGCTCATGCCAAACTTTAAGTGATATTGAAACCTACAGCAAATGAGACTCTTCGCAGAATTAGGAAGTCAGGCACTGGTTCAAAAGTGTTGAAAGGAAAAGGAGGATCCAGTGCCACACCATGGATTTAGGCTGCTGGTAGTTCTGGTCCTCTGTTCTGAAGAGTGGGACTTGATGGCCAGACACCAGTGTAAAATGGAAGGGAAAAGGGCAAAGGGAAAGTGCTGAACTTGGGAATGCCTGCTTCACGTTCTCTCGAATGTAAAGCATAAGCTATGCTGTGAATGTCAGTTAAATAAATGAATGCATTTTATTTACTGGCCTTCAGTCAAGTGAATGCAAATCCTACAGTTATCTGTTATTTGTATTTCCATGAAGTACCAGTCGTCTGAGTTATGCACTTCAATGGCTGTGTTTTGAGCTAATGTATAACTATGTTGTAAAAGCTGGGAGTGCAGAGAAACAGGACTTTTTGGCACTTGGACAGGTAAAATAGTTGATGCTGTGAATGGAGTGGAAAGCTGTGTAACACACAAATTGAGGGGCTGCTTGTACTGAAACACTGAAGTATGAACATTTGCTATTTATTTCCTAATTCAGCTGCTATTTTATATTCAAAAATTATCAAATTACTTCAGGTAACTGGGATGATTTTGCCAGAAAAATAACTACTCTCTGAACATCAATGGGTTGACTATGCAGAAGAACACTGCACCACTGGATTCTCCCTTCATAAATTGAAGGTTTTCTTCTGCCACCGTAAGCACTAGACATGTTGTTTGGGATCTGTGGCAAAGGCTGAATCACATCAATGTGGTCCTTAGCTCAGCAGCCAGCTCCACCCCAAGGAGTCGCGAAGCGCCTGGCTGGGCTGGCTTTGCACGGGGGAGCTGATCACAGGCATGCCACAGGCATGCAGCTCCGTAGCAGTGCATCTTCTTGAACTTTTTTCACCCTTTCACACATTCAGTGACATGGGCCAAATGTGGGGGACACAGGGAGAAGGGGCCAGCCAGATCTCACCCCTCAAGCCATTTGGGAGTATGGTCATGGGGCTGAACAGAAAGATAGCACCTTTCTTCTAATGTGGCAGAGACTGAGTAGTGTCACCGACCATGTGCATACTCTTCAAGTGAACATTCCCATTCTGCTGTGGCAAAAGGTTTTAAGAAGATGCTGAGCCACTTCCACTTTGCAGCTCGGAAGCTAAAAAAAAAGTGAATTTTAGTTTTCGTTTCTTTTTTATGTGAAACTTTGAATACCAGCTTGAACAAATATGTAGAAGAGAGAAAAATGATGAACAAATAGCTAGAAGAAAGAATAAAATGCTGGTACAAATTTTAGCAGATGATCATTTTCAGAAATTTGGCCTCCATCTTCAATATTACCATCTAATATCTGTTGGATGGAGTAAATAGACCTAACTGCTTTCACCATCACTGGATTATCCAAACATCTAAAAGAGAGTCAAGTTTCACTGTGTCGATCACTCTGTTCTGAGAATTTTCCTGTAGTGAGTTACTCTTCCTGCAGAAGAGGATGATTTGCTGAATAAATGACTATTTATTTCAAAGGCTTCCTGGGAAATCAAGACTATAATCCATAACCATGACAATTCACTGAAATGTGATTTTTATGTACTCAAGCGCTTTACATTGAGGTTGCGTAGTCTTGATTCATTTCCCTATGCAGAAGTTTGTATAGGACAACTTTTACTTCACTCCTTGGAAAGTGGCATTAAATTAGATAGCAAAACTAATTCCACCTTCTTTATATCAGTAAATTTACATAAAGTTAAGCTAGAGCACATGGTTTTAATTTAGCCTTTAGTGGTTTTATTTGACAGAAAGAAGAACTGTTGAACACTAACCTTGAATTAGAACCTGACCTCCAAATTAGTCAGCCTTTTTCTTGTAAAAGCATTTTGTTGAGTATAAACATGAAGTATTTACATAATGTTGGTGACAGCCAAATAATTTCTTACGAACATTAATGCTAGAAATCCCAAACACTCCCTCATTGCTAAAGAATGGTTTATAACCCTTGAGAATAGCTTCTCCCAGAAATAACTACGAACAGAAAAGGCTGATAATTTTCCCACATATTTAGGATTTCTATAGTATTTCACCAAAAAATGCTACTGCAATTGCGAGATAATAACTATAAATGAATAATACATGAAATGCAGGTCATCTTCTAAGGTGCATATGAAAACAGACCTATCCCTGAGCTTATGGTGTAGCCTGCCCTCATACCGGTACTGCATGGGCTGTACTACAGGATGCTCTGTGAAAGTGTAAAGAGAAGCCTTCTTCTCTTTACTTGGCATGCTGGAGCCCCAGTGATGCTAAAATAATTATGATGGCTTCATGGAATACGTCTACCGATAGCAACTCCAGCACCAGCCAAAGGAGCACAAGTGCTGTTTTACGTCAAAGTCTATCCATCTCTCCTGTTTCCTGGTCCACCGGCCTAGGGCAGAGCAGAGCAAGGTATGAGGGTTCTTCAGAAGCTAAGACCAGAGACGTCTGCAATGGCTCTGCTCTCCAGCTCTGGTTTCACCGCTAGAGTGGTGAAAAAACGCAGTAATGCAGACCAGTTGGGCTGTGCACATATGCCGCTGTGCTTGAGATACACATGTAAGCGTTGCACTCTGTGCCTTAAATGTTTTTAGCTTTGTTCTTGCACCCAGAGTAAATGAAAGCTGTTGAGTGCTAGCAAGTGTTTGAAGTTCCTGAGTTTCTTTGACTGTTAGCTTTGTTATTTTTAAGTATAAAATTCAATCAATCGATATATTAAGTATGATGAAAAACAAATCTGCAAAGGCTGCAAAGAACTTGCATGGCATATTCTGTAGGCCACAGAAGCATGTCACAACTTTTAAGAGGCAGAAAAATGACTCTTTGAGCCTTGGTTCATTTTAATTTATTTTAACCTCCTTTAAAGAGAAGGCATTTTGTATGTATTATAACTTCTTTGGTTTTATTGTTGGCTAAACAACAGAACATTGCCTTTTCTTTTAAACCTATAGTTTCAGAAGGTAATTTTATTATTACTGCAACAAGAGTATATATCATAACATAGCCCTTTCACCTTGTGCACATTTATTGACATGCCCTGCCATAATATGCCATAGTAAGTCTCTAAATTAAGATGGTATTTTTCACGCTTTTAGCAACAGCATTAAAGTACTCTGCTCTTTGCTGTGTGTTATTATTAGCTCCCCCAGGATCGAATTCCAGCCTCAGGCACTGATTGTGTGATGCGGCCTAACTCTGATGGCAGGCTTCAGCTCTGATTTTGTCTGACTGTATTTGCCCTGCCTTATTCATCCTAGGAGGCACAAGGACTCAGTTGAACAGATGAGGAGTGAGTAACAATTTGAACTATCCTCAAATTATGGCTTATGACTTGCCCCTAACCTAGAATAAAGCATTTTCCGTTTGATTTAAAGGCTAAGAAGGGTTTTATGCCAGATTATCAGTCCCAGCACTGTTGTCCCCAGTAGGCTGGAATAATAAAGCATATGAAGACATCCTAGATAACCAGCAGCAGATCACTTTCCACTGCCCTGCACTGTTTTACTGGCTGACATCCTCACTGGGAACATTATCAAGCCTTTAGGGCTAGAAAGCATTTGAGAGGCACTTTGCAGGGTGTATAGACAGTTTCTTTGGTATTAAACTTTGCCAAGTACTTGATCCCGCACTTGTCTGAGGCAGCGTGGAGCCATTCTAAACGGTTTAACACAAATACTCTCTCTCATCATTACTAAAATAAGGCAAAATTCCTCTTCTCCCATCAGAGGAGAAAGTTAGTGAATGCCAACTGAGGATGTGATCCATCCTTTCTATCATGACAAATGGCCCAAGACACCCAGCAAATGTCCACATAACAGCTTGTACCGAGAGGGCAGGAACATCAGCTCCCACGATGAGTTCCCCACCTACTTTTACAAGGCTAGGGCTGATGAAGCTTGCCATTTCTCAACCTCTTTTCTTCAATGGTCTTCACTGTGTAGCAGAAAGATACCTTGTAAATACACCAGCTCCCTGCAGGACTAGAACCCAGACTGAGCGGTCACATAGATTCACTATGTTCCTTTATATTCATTCTGTTGCTTTTACTCGTGCTGAGATGTGAAAGCAACATCACTTCGCAAATGGAAAAAGCAATTTTTCCATCTCATTTTAGGATGACTTTCTGGCAGTGTAGCGCTTGGGGGTTAACGCACATGTCCTTCAGAAGCAGGAGAAGATTTCTGATATTTGCCTTTAGAAGGTCCCCGGAAGCGCTCTGGAACGCTTAGTTCTAGGCATGGACACGTGTGACGAGGCATAGCGTTTTCCTGCATAATTCACTTCAGCATGCAGGTCTCCAATTGCACAATCAGTCAGGCTTGCAGATTCGACATTCTTCTGCTAAAAGAGCTCCTTCTTCAAAGGAAAAGAGTCGAATGGAAATTTTAACTTAATTAGAACACAGTACTCTTGGAAAAAAGTGTGGCCTTTGCCTGGCCTATCAAGAACATTTCTCTAAGCGGTCTGCTTACTCTCTGTTTCAGGATAAATTAGACATTACAGAAAACCCCTTTTTTAGCTAGTTAATGATATGCTCGAATGAGAGGAAAATTTCTTGTCCTTTGTGCCTGGCCTTACACTACTCAAGACAAAAGGACAAAACACATAGGATGTGCTTTCGGAAAGATCCTGGAGGAAGGACTAGCTATAACATAATCAAACTTTGGCTTGCTTAGTGTGCAAAATGAAAGTGTTCTGCTTAGTCTGGTTTCCAGTGATGTGATCCCTTGCACTAGTTATGGATTTTATTTGATTTACTTATTTATTTTGTTTGTAGGAGGAAAAAAAGTCTTGCCAAGAACCTCTCAGTCTCACTCACCATCACCATCAATAACAGGGCATTTTGGGGAGTAGATCTGCTTTTCTAAGCTGAGGAATTGGGGCACCTGCTTTGCAGCAGCTACACAAGACGAGAGGGTGTTCAGCACACGAGGGATCAGGTGAGCTGGAGCGTTTGCTGCCACCTCTCCTTTCCGTAACTTCAGAGGGCGATTGATCCTTCAAGTAACCTCCCCAGCCAGCTCTCTCCTGAGCACACAATGCTGCTGGGTTGACCTTCAGGTGTCTTTTGCTCCTTCTGGTTACATAACTTTGAACTGTTTTCCATGCGGTGGGCAACACTGACAGTGACTTATTTACGCTCTTATTGTCCCTGGATACCTCCAGTTGGGTTCCTCCTGGAGTAGTTCAACAAACCTACTGCCTGTCAAAGGTTTTTTTTCTCATCCTAAATGCCTTCCTGTTGCTAGGTGGAAATTTTTCTGCTTTTCAGATATAAAGTGACTAATGGGATACATTTCATAATACATCAGCAAGTACAGTAGTTATTATCATATTTGAATGCCCTTTAAATATTATCAAGCTGCACTTGGAATGTGGGGTAGTATGTAGATTAGACATAATAAAGCCAGTAGAGGGAATTCTTTGTTCTTTGATAATCACATTTTAGAAGGTTAACAAGGTTTATTACATTGGGGAGATGAGGTTAAAAAAAATCTTTTTTTTTTTTTTAAGTGCTTTGCAGGAGATGAGTAAACAGCATAGGTCCAACCAGCAGGTCCAGCCAACAGGAAACATGGGGTGTAGGGACTAACGTGGAATTTAGATGCTCTAAACCGCATCCCTCTCTGATATAGATCTCCTTTCATGCTTCCATGTCCACAGGCTGGGAGCAGGTTTACTCCCATCCCTGCTGGATAGCTGTTGATTTTTTACTTCCTGCTGCTGCCTCCTCTGGTTCTCTATTAATAGACAAGATAAAACATCAACCCATAGGAAAACAAATGCATGGAGAAGAAGCCATGGAGACAAAAAGGAGCAGAAAGATAGAAGGAATAGGGGAAAGCAGTGAATTGGGGATCATGAGGTTTGAAAAGAGATTTTTTTTTTTACTGGCAAGCTTATAAATACAACGCCACTTGCTTTGCATTGATGAGGATTACTTGTGAGTTTTGTGCATAGCATTCCTCCTGGAGCAGGTCTGTCTCTGCAGCTCACTTTCCTCATTTCCCGTAGCACCTGCATCTTTGGCAATGGCAAAGTCATGCAGGCTTTTGCTTAAGGAGCTAAACTATAAGCTCTATGTACAGCTTGGATTCAGGAGACAGAGCATGCATTGACGTTAAGCAACATTTTGATATGACATCAAATGTGCATCAGGGAGAAAAGTGATGATCTCATCTAAATCAATAAATATAATTGTCATATTTGTCCTTCAAGCTTTCTAACAAACTACTAACAAGTGTTTGTGTTACTGACAGCCACTCTTGGTCTCTAGGTATTTAAACCTCTTATAGATAGGGTAGTGATGGTTCTTGAAAACCAGCAGTTACAATGCTAGGAGAAACAGGCCTGAAATTTTCATCTGCAGCTTAACAAAATAAACTAACCATTTTCACCTGTGCAGGTTAATGGAGTCTAAAATGAATAAGATTTACATTCATCTTGGCTACACTCCAGACTGAGTGTGAGGTATGGCAGTAATTCCCTAAATTACTGCAAAAGACAGAATACGATTTAATACCCAAGAGTCCATACAAGACCTGTACTGCCATGCGTCACCCGTTTTCATATTCTTAAACACCCCATTAATAATGTCAACACACAGGTGAGAAACGTATCAGGAAGATTTGTCTGTAAAAATGCATTTTAAAAAGCAGGCAATTTAAATTAGATACAGTGCAATTTTTTTGATAATAAAGACATAAGGTTTTTGTTAGTAGCAGTTAAAGAATAAGCTCAGAATAAGCTGTTGACGCTGGTACAGAATAAAGCTCATTTAAAATATGATGGAAGTTATCTTGCTGGTTCTGTTATACCTTCTTACACAATATTTGTAAGTGATTTAGCAAAATGCTCTGTGCTCTGGGTGGATGTATATCTTTACTGGCATCTTTCAGTATGTTTAGCTTTCTTTAGTAAAGCATTTTAGCTTTAATATAGGAGAACTTCTGAAAATTGGCCATATCTGTGAGCTTAATTTACACTGTAGAGACTAGATCAGACAATTCCTCTTGAGCCTTTATTCATTCTTGTTAAAGGGATATCATTTTTAACGATACCCTAGCTTTCTCGTTGAAGGTAACAGATTTATTTATTGTAACTGATGATAATGAAGAGATAAATGAACTCTGATTCAAGTTTTGATAAAAAAAATATTTCTACCTGGAAGAACTCTAGGTTCAAATAAGAATTAAAAGAACATACTAAAATTTGTGAAGTGAGTAAACTTAATTTTAGTATTATGGACTCATTTGGGTTGGAAGGGACCTCTGGAGGTCAGATGGTCCAACCCCTTGTTCAGAGTGGGACCCATTAGCTGAGGCTGTTCAGGGCCTTATTCAAGTGAGTTTTGAATATCTCCAAAGACGGAGATTTTGCTTTTATGCATTCTCTTATTCAAATAATTTGCAAAGAAACAATTCACCCTTGGTGTTTAAAATAAATGCTGCCTGACAACGTAGGAATTTTGTTTTCGATGAGCAAGTTTTGTTTCTCTTCAAAATTCCTTGACACATCTGAATAGCAAAGGGAAATAAATCCCCATTTAAACTCCTGTAGAAATAAAAGCATAGAAAAAGTCAAATTCCATAATTAGTTTTAATAGATAAAAATGAAGTGTGATGACACTCTTAGCTGTGGAAAATGCATTTCTAGGTATGAATTTGGATATATGAAAATCTTTTACACCAGCCACTTCAGTAAAAGAAATGACCAAACAAAACTCCTTAAAATATATTAAACATACTGAGTACTTTCATAGCTTTTTAATTGTTAACCTTATATGACCTTGGCAAAACTAAGTGCTTATCGATGGACTCATACTGCTTCAACCTCTGCATCAGGAAGAGGAGGACTAGACTGAAGAAAGGTTTCTTTTCCCTACCTCTTTTAGAATTTTGATACAACTTTTTTGAAAGAAAAAAATTCATTGGAAATGTAGGTCGAAATTTTGGAGGATTTTAGAAGACACCAAACACCCTCAAAGTTATTTCAAACAAAAGAATCTGACCTGGATCTTGCCAGCTGTTTCGTTTGTTTTTATTCAAGATGTACAGCTGTTTAACACAAACTGTCTTTTTTTTTTTTAACTAAAACATTAGTTTTGTCATGACAAGTCAACAGCCACTAGAGGAAAAATGAAACTGAAAAAATGCAATTAGCCATCCCTAGTCCCACTTATGGGCCCAGAACTGCCCAAACTTGTATACCAGCCCTGCTCAAGATTGTGTCCTGGCATTCGATGGGCAGCTGCAGAGCGCTGCTTTCGTGTGTGTGTGTGTGTGTGTGTGTGTGAGAGAGCAGGGATTTTCCAAAGGGGCCTATGAGAGTTGAGTACCCGGCCTAATCTTCAACACTGCCATATTAATGAAGTGCTATTTAATAGACAGGTGGCAAATTCCGGTTCAGGAGCAGAAGGAGGAATTTCACGTGAAATAGATACCCGTTGAATCAGTTGGTGCTGCTGAAGGAGTCCCCACTGAACAACTATCAGCCTGTATTCTGCTGAAATGAGCAGCCTGTGGCTCACCCTATGAGGCTGAATGCGCTCTTTGTTCCTTGTGGGCTGCCCGAAAAGAGTCCTGGAAAAATCCCCGTGTGGTTTGGATGGGCTGGATCATGTGCTGTTGCGATAGCAAAGGCTTCACATGCTTTTCTTTTTTTTTTTTTTCAGTAGTCCTTTCCTCTGGCATGCCGGGAAGTGATTCTTTGGGAGTGAGAAATGTCATCGGTTAAGACAAACAGTCATCGGATGAGCTCAGACTTACATTTTCAAAAAGTAAATGCATAACGAGGGGGGCTTGATAAAAAACGAGTGAAATATTTTTAACAGGATGGTCCAGATGCACATGTATCTTATGTCATGATCTTATTCTTATTCTCAACTCTTATTCTGACATTCATCCTTCTTCTTTCCTTCCCACCCTTGACTGTTATAGCTCTCATCCTCTATGCTACAGAAAATGCAAAGTAAATTATGTAAGGGAGGGTCTGTATTTTTGGCTGTACCAGGTGTCTTGCCCACAAATGTTTGGAAGAATAAATAAATACAGAATGTCTCAACTGTCCAGGCATTCCATCGTTACTTTTATAATATTACCAAAAAAAACCCCAGATAACTTGCATTACCTCTGGAAAACAAAACAATGCATTTTGAACCACCTTCTCCAACAATGTTTCAATACAAGTCAGCTCTTCCAAACCCATGCAACCTGAAACCTAAGGAGAATAGACAGGTCTTGAACTGGAGGCCAGTCTAAAATATTAGAAAGGCTAAAAAGAGACAAACACGTTCCAGGATCAAGGCCATCCCTTGTAAGAGGTAAAGTTCAAAGCTGGACCAAATCCATGACTGCTGAGTTGTCCCAGCTCCACTGACTTTCTCAGAGAAAAGTAATTTTCACAAACTGAGATTGCTGGTCATCAGTGCTCTGGTTTAGGGGCTGCTAACCAAAATACATAGGCAGGCTCTGGGGCAGATCATTCCAACGAATTCACACGCACACGTTATGTTACACTCAGAAAGGTCTCATGGCAGAAGCAACAAAATGGATTTTGTGTGTACGTGTGTGTATTGCATAATTCACAATCCAAATTTAATCCAACATATTTGGACAGCAGCCCACCCCATGCGTGCTTGGCGGAGCCGGGCACACATGCGGAGAGCAGCCCCAAGCAGCTGTGCAGCCCGGCACGGTTCCACTCCCAGGCTTGAAGCCCTGCACCTGCACAGAGGCACCATCCGTAGACTGTGCAAGTAAGATGGATCCTGTTTTTTCCAACAGCCCTGGACGCAGCTGAGGTTTGCTTTGGGGAAAGCAAAGCAGGGGAGAGCTTTTAGCTCATATGGCAGTTCCAAGGCTGCTGTGCTTGTCCGGAGCTTTATGCTGCACAGCACTTTGTACGGAAGCTCCTTGTCCACACTGACCACCTCTCCTACCCAAACTCTCCAGATCAGTCATTTCTGGCAGCGTTTTGTTCCACTGGCCACTGGGAAGCGCTTGGCAAATAGCTGCTCTTTTCTGGCTGGGAGCTTAGCTTAGCCACACCTAACAACAGCAGTGAAGCTAGGACACATATATTCCTAGCACACAACTGCCAATGTTCGTTTGCCTTTCAGCGCTGCCTCGCAGCCCAAGATTTCATTGGAGCTGGTATAATACCCTTGCAATTGTTAACACCAGTTACTAGCCATTGTTCCATTTGGGTTTCTCTTGCTAATTAGATTCACTCTGACAATCTGTCTGGCCCATAACTCTAACCCTAAAAGGAGTATCTTCCCACAGCGAACAGAATGGAATATGAATAATCGATTTACTAATTGTATTTGAATGGCTCCTCCAAACCAATGTGCTTATCACCTTGCTGTCTGGGCTGCCTGTTGGGAGAGCCCCGCTCTGCTCCAGGTTTCTCTCGCGAGAGGAGCAGGAACGCTCCCGCCTGCTTTTGCAAACTCACAAGTGTATGTGGGTCTCACACAATCTTTAAGAGCCTCCGCTTTTCATTCATGTGTTTTCGTATGGGCAGCCAGCTCTTCTCTTTCTCATCTGTTCTCCTCTCATGCTCCTGCTTCCTCTCTCTGCCCTCTGTTTAGAAAGCCACCAGCAACGGAGACAATGCTACTTCCTAGTGAAGCTAAAGAAATTCTGAAAACAACCACGTGAGCCCTCTGTAAAAGTGATGGCTCCACAGCCCTGTTCACACAGCCCGAAGCACCTTTGCTCCACTTGCCGAGCTGAATATTTGGGCGGCGAACCCGTGGTTGGAAGCCGTTTGTTAGCAACTTGCTGGGTCTTATGTAATAGCCCCCAGCACCGACCCCTTGCAGACAGTCTCCGGCAAACACGGCTTCCAGACCAAGGTTGCTTCATGCCTGACTAGCTTGAAGCATGGCCAAAGGGTCTGGCTCTGTTCATACCTGCCTGTTTAGGCATAATCTGAGGGCCTCCTGCAAACTCACTTTTCCACCACACATGCAGAAAAAACTTCTCTACTGCTAATTGCTAGGCAGAGCAATATGTAGGCTGCGGCTCAGGCTATGAATCGCACAGACAGGTAGATGTTTTCATTCCTTTTTTTAAGTTGCTTTTCCAAGCTTTAAGGAAAAATATTAAAACAAATTTAACGGCAGGCAGCTGCAAAACCACTCCTTATCATGCGTCATCGTTGGAGTTGGGCTTCCAGCACTGCAGTGCAGCTTGAGCTTAACTACAGCATTCGGTGGTGGTGGTAACACCCTGCATGGAGGGCAAAATATTGCACTGACGCCTCATTTCGTACCAGAGTACGGAGAGACGCTATTGAACTGTGTCCAGTCTGCCTTTTCCGTCTCTCCTCTGCTCTACCCCCACCTCCACCACTTGCCTCAGGGTTGCTTTTGCCCCTAATCCAAAGAAAACAAAATAAATTTTAGTGTGCTAGTAGCAAGGTGGACTTGCCCTGCAGGGAGAGTTTTGGTGTGTGAGCACACGGCTGCAAGAGGGTACATGTCTCCTTAATCTCATCTCCCGCTATCATATGCGCGTGCTCCGAGTGGTTATTAAGCCCCTTAAAAAACTGCCCCTGGAATGCCCTCCAACATCCGATTGCTCTGACAACTCAAAAAGGTTCTGCTGATGTTCACTGTAGACAAATCTGCAGCTGTGCTAGTTTAAATAGGTCTTTTCCTTCCCTACTGCATACCTTCCTGTATATTTATGGACAGGAATCATATCACCCTCGCCTTTGTTTCATTAGGGTAGACAAGCCAGGGTCTTCCAGGGTCCTCCTGCAAGACAGGCCCTCCCATTCTTGTCTTCCTTGCGGGGCTTCTCTGCAGCTGTTCGGCTATAAATGCATCTTTCCCAAACAAGGGCTGGGAAGGGAAGAGAGAATGTCTGAGCCTTGTATGTTGGCACTAATATTTCCTCATCTCAACTGGAAATAGATACAACATAAGGATCAAGTTGGCAGTACGCAGCTCTTCTGTGATTGTCAAATGCTGATTTTTCTTTCTTGTCAGCTTTTTTCCCAACTGATTCACTCCCTGTTAATAGCAAAAGCCTCCTCTGTCACCAGTTTTCAAGTTTTCATCATTAGCTCGAATGTCCTCCTCCTTCTCTTACAACTGTTCCTGAGGTACCCCATTGGTCCTGATCGGCCTCCAAAACACCTCCGCACCGGCAACACATCACAACTAGCAGGTTTCCCCAGAACAGTTCTCACATGTGCTGGTAGCATGCCATTAATGAAAACTTTAAAAGAAAATTGATCCTAAACCTCCTATTTGAGGGACTCTATCAGGTAACTCCTCCTAGCCTGATTTCCACCCTTGGCGCTTGTCGTCTTCTCTTCTTCAGTCAGTTCCTTACCAGCAACACAGTTCTCTGCTAGTCTATTTTGTCTCCAGCAGCATCAGCTGTTTCGCATGTGACATCATAGCAAATACATTAAAGTATTCAAGATAAAGGAAATCTGGCAGGTATCACCTGTCTGGAAAAATAATTGTTTCATCAAAGAGAACCATCAGGTTAGTCTGGCATGATGTATCTTTAGTTGCATTTTATCCTATTTTTGATGTGCCTTTGCATTTTTAATTAACCTTCAAGGCATGTTCCAAAGCCTTGCATACCCTTGAGGTCAGATTTACAAGGACTACAGTTGGCTGAATTATTTTTTAAGCCTGCACAATCAAACACATCATAATAGGTATTCTGCAATAACATGGTCCTTCACTGACTTGATAGATTTATAAAAATGATCGCTATTAGATCTGCCTTTTCACATGCTGATCTTTCCAGAATTCCTGGACAGGCATTGCCTGCCTCCCCAACGGAAACGCAGTCTGCTCTTTGAGCTTTGCTTCCCTGACAGGGGTAGCGACTCCATTTCCATATCCTTGTTCCCGTTAACTAGCCTCTTCTTGCCCCTAGGATTTGTCTTCCTTAAATGAGAACACAGGTAAAATACTCCTTTGATTTTAGGCCATACCTAGATTATCTATAATCTCATTTACTGCAGCCTCGCTCTCCTTTTCTTACTCTCGTGTATCTCAAGAAGCTTTTCCCATTTTCTTTGGCATGTTTTGCAAGTTCAAACTCAGGTTTACTTCTGAGCATTCTCGCTTTATACCTACGTTTCTTGAGCTCTAGATCATAGCTTTGTTTGCTGTCAGTTCCTCTTTCCACAATCTGTAAACTCTTTTGTGTTCTTAACAACCAGAACTAAATGGAAAAACACCTGTCTAGGATCAGCATGCAAGGTGCAGCCCCTCACTTTTGACCAGGCCTCCCCTGCCCTCAAGCCTCTGCCTTCTCCAGCTGAGCTAGCTTTGTTGACGAGCATCATCCCCCTTTATCAGTTTGCTCATTTGCAGACTGCGAGTCTCAGAGGCATACCTACTTTTGCTTATTCCACCATTTACTCCAAACAGCACGATTTACTCAGTTCAAAGCTCTCTTCTGTGATTAGATCCATAGTAATTTAATTGCATATCAAAACAATGTCTTGTACTAGTTTACCAATGAAGATGTTTGTTGGTTGTCACATCCAAGAATATCTGGGCCTTACCATTACTAGCTTGAGGCATCACAGAATAATGCAATTTCTCCAGATTGCCAAAGCATTAAATGAAGATATGAATAATTTCCAAAAGAGTTTCTATCACAGCCAAATACAGGAGCAGCAGCTAAAGGAAAAAAAGATAAAGCATATTTCTGACCCTGCACTTTGTTCTTGCTGAATTTCAAAGGCCATATGTGAGCATCAGAAGTGCAAAAGTTTCTCAGCAAAGTATTGCCAGAAACTTTTATGCTGGGAAGCATGGATCAGCTGGAACACTGAGTTGGTATCAGCTTATTGCATTATAACGATCAACAGAAAATGTTTTTACCAGTTTCTGGAGGACAGACGAAAGCTAAGTCCAAATGATGTCAGGAAAGACTTTCCTTCAGCAATCTTGCAAGTGCAGATGTGTGCACACTGCACCCTCTGAATAGAGCATTCTGCAGCCTGGCCTGAACGGAGCTGGGATCAGTGTCAGGAGTGATTCCCTCAAGATC